ATAATATAATAATAAGAAGAGTATAAAATAGATCAAGTTATAAGTCTTTTATTAATTGAACAAACAAGCAAAGGTTTCTTCGTTACACAAACCCTTGTAAAATACATAACTACATTATAACTATCTACATCTACACTACCATTTTCAGTACAAATATTTTGTTAATACATTTCTTTTACTTCATTTTAGCCTTCGATCAAATTCATAAAATTTATTAAAACCACTAAGAATCAATACAGCGCTTAAGAGCTAGAAGAAAAAGAAAAACTTCGCATCCAGCCTGAAAAAGAAGACAACAATTATAAAAGTAAAAAGTTTTTACAAAAAAAAAAAATCTTGGATGAACAATTTAGTGTGTAAACAAAAGAAAAAGTTTTAAGATCAATTTCAAAAGAAGGAATTAAAAATTAAAAATAACTTTAATTCGGCAATTACAAAAAAATTCAAAAGGCTATTATTGACAACAATAACACCAGTAAACAATCTTGGGTTCACAAAAAAATTACACATGCTATGAACGCAGGAGGTGAATAAAGTTTGGCTGTTCTTGAAGAGAATTGTACAATGGAAGATGTAGTTTGTATGTAGTTGAAAAAGTGACTGAAGAATACCTAAAAAAAAATCGAGAGGTTTAAAAATATTGAATACAATAATGGTCTTTACAGTATAATCCGACGAAAAAAAAAAATACAGTGGTATTATAATCTCCTCGTGAGTTCCATTTTCCTCTGCGTTGGGGAGTTCATATTTAATTTTAAATACTCATATTTTTATTTTTATAAAATTAACAGTTTATACATTCCCTGTAAGGGGATCGCTGGTTTTGTAATGGATTAAGTTCGGTAAGATAATTTAGATCTAAGAATAAAGGATATAAATGATAAATTAACTAGGTACTTAAAACCCAAGAGGACCAGACATTGTCAGCCAAGGAAAGGCAATATACTTAGGATGCTTCCTGTGATAACTGTTGTTTGCTTGAGAAGTTTTTAGGACAAAACTTATAGGGGGGGATAATGTTGTGTTGTATGGCTGTAGGTTTTTTAGTTTTTTTTTTATCTTATTACTTGATCTAAGACTAGTTTGTTATTTGTTTAAATTCTTGTACTGGAAATGGTAGTGTTGGTAGTTACATTTTATTTCAAGTATTTTACAAGGGTTTCCTCGTTACACTAAACCCTTGCTTGTTAGAGACTTTTTTTGATATATTTTAAAATTTTCTTCTAACTATTATAATATTTAAGTAAAACGCGCGTTACTGATTATCCAATACAGTACTGGTAATGGTTATAATTAATTGTAACTAATATTTCCAAATGCCTAGAATATCTAATTAATATAAAAATTGAATACATTTTAAAAAACCTTAGATAATTATAATAATGATAAGTTACTAATAATAGTTATAACTAAAGATTTCAAAGAATAATTAATTATTCCTGTATTTAAACAAATTATAGACTCAAAGTTCCAGCTACACTTAGGACCGAAACAAATACTATAGAACAGTGTACTAACATGTTAAAGGTTTTATGATATTTGTTTTTAATTAATTAGTTTTAGTATATAAACCTAAAAGTCGTTACACAATAAACTTTAGATTATTTTATAACGACTTTAGGTATTAAACTTAATAATTCTATTTAATTAATAAAGATTATTTTATAACGACTTTAGACTTTAATATTCATAATCCACGAAAAGTTTAACAAGCAAAGTTACTCAGTTAGTGTAGTCGTTATCACGTTTCTCTCACTCAGAAAAGGTCGGGTGTTCAAATCACCCACTGAGTATAAATAATAAAATAAAATTTTTTTAAGGTGTATTTGAAAAATTTTTTTTTCAAGAAAATTTACAAATTTATTCCCCACTTCCGAACTTAATTTCTTAGTTGAAATGTTATTTGCTTCGAGTTACTTACAATTGTTTTTTACATTATGAGAAAATATTTTGATTTTGAATTGAAAATTACATGTATGGTAAGAATTATGTACTAAGAATAGAGTTTCTTTATCTCTAACACACCAATAGCATTTTCCAATTTTAATCTAACTTTTTCTAAGCAATATTTACTAAAGGAGGTATTAAAATTTTTTAAAGTTTCAAAAAAAACTTTTTTCAGATGAAAGAGTAAAACTTCTTCCCTAATTTTTTCAATACTGCTCCATCCAACATTCAACTCTAAACTTTTTAGACCAATCAGTATAAATTCTTGTAGTATAACAGAAATATATACTATCATTTCGGAGTTGTAGCTAAACCTCTTGTAGTCTGCTTTCTCAATTTGTGCTTTTACTAAGGAAGGTAAATTTAAACTCATTATTGAGCTTAAAGCTCGAATAATACAAAGTATGAATTCCATAGAAGTTGCTTTTAGTGCATTATTACTACCATTTCTAACTCCTTCGCTTTTCAACTGAAAGTCAAATTTAAAACTAGGATTCAGCGTGTTGTTTTTATAATGAATTTTAAGCATTCCATATAAAAACATAATATTAAACTTTAAACTAATTGCTCCAGTTAGCCACTGAACTTTAATGTGTCGGATTCCTTGAATGAACTCTGATAATAATTGAAATGGTCTAAACCAAGGTGGTAAAGTTTCAATCCAACCCAGCAAACTTCTGTGTATATCTGTTGCTGTTTCTAAAGCTCTCCCTGCTTTCTGCAATTCGTTTTTAGAAAATCGTATTGTTTTTCTGATTATCCAAATTATTTGTGTATAGACTGTAATTTTTGCTGCACCATTAAACAATTTTACACCATCTCCCTGTTGCCAAAGTATATCCCATTCACCTTGGTCCAGCATTTCGCTATGTTCCCTTTCATCACCTATTTTTATAATTAAAAATTAGAATTTAAAGAAAAAATTTTATTGATATAAAGTACCAATAAACGGATAACTAGCAAACGTAGTGAAACTTAAGAATTTTACCCATTTTAACCTCCTATCTTTTTTTTCCATTATGTCTCGTTTCGAAAATTTTTCATCTTTATCCCAATTGGATGCAATAGCAACTTGATTCAAAAAGTCTGATATCATAAATTAAAGCTCATTTTTTATTCACTTACGCAACCAACGCGTCGCTTTTTTCCGATCCCCATAACAATAATAAAAAAAACTTACGGTCATTAAAAAATCTAGATCCCTCGACTGATGCTTTTCAGGTAAAACAGAAAACTCTACAGGATGAAATTAAATACAAAGGCACATTGTTACTAAAATACCTATAACTGCTTTATCCATAAATTTTATAGCTGCTTTTTGTGGTGAACCGCCGAATTCAGGTGTGAAAAGTTGGGGATGTCTTGAAACTAAACACGATTTTGATAATTCATGATAAATCCTACAAAAATTATTTTTTCAAAACAAAAAAGAAAGTATTTTTTACCTATAAGGTTCAAGGATATTGAAATATTTTAAAAAATTATACGGATTGTTACCCATTTCTTCATGAAATTGATAATCGGCTCTACTAAAACTACTCTGTTGAGGTGCTTCAAAAATTGCAGGTGATGGATTCTCAAGAAAAACAAGTTGGCCACCCTTTTGTAAACATCCAAATAACATAAAATAAAAGCATAAATCATTTAGCCCAATTTGTTTATTAAAATTAACGCTGATTAATTCTAATTTCTTAACTGCAGTTTTCGTTGATGTTGATGGTAAAATCATTATATCATTATTTACAAAGTGCAGGAGACTTTCTTCAGTATTAAATTCTTGAATGAAGGAATGGGTATGAGGAGTAACATCTTTCAATATATTATAAGGCACTTGGCTAAAATCAAAAGATCTATTCACATTCGTGACAAAATTAAAAAGCACTTTATTAAAATCGTTTGGCTTATCCGCTTCCATATCCGACGGGTATTCGGATATTAGTCTTGGAGATGAAGATACAGACGAGCCTCCTTTTGAAGAACTTTTTTTTCCATAAAATGAAGATGGTACTCTGGAATAAATTTCTGTCAAGTTCTCTCTTGGAGAAATGTCAATGGTTGCATTTAAGATGTTCATTGTGGGACTTATTACATGGCCTGGTGAGGACATTGGTGAAAACCTTAACGAATCACTGTCACCTGATTCTGATGAAAGTGAAACAATCTCTAAATCAGGGGATAATTTAGCTTTAGAGGAAACCTTTGGTCCTCTTAAAATTTACTGTTTGTGGTTTGTTTTATATGTTAATACCTTTTTTTTGCTATTTTTCCCCAAATACAAACTATTCCTTTATACTCTAAAAAACAATTTTGTTATTTGAAAAGAATTAGAAGTAATCACCACAGTTTCCACAAGAAGGTTTATGACCATCGCATCTTCTTTTTATCACTCGACACTAGATTTTATTAAAAATAATATGAATCATTTAATTCTTACAGAATCGCATTGAATGTGTGTTTTTTTCATATTCTAATTAGTTTGTATCAACTTGCGCCACTAATAATCACAGCAATTTATCAGGCTTGATGGAAAAAGCAAAGTCCAAAAAAATGAATTTAACTATACTTTATATATAGTACGACAAGATTATACACATTTTCTTTGGTGTATTAAAAAGTTGTTTTTCAGAGTAAGCAGGTTTAATACTAATAAGGTTTTGGAGCTGTTAATCTAACTTTATTAATAAGAAAGAGATTATAAACGATATGGTTTTCAAAAGATTAGGAGTGCGATTGATATAAAGCTTTTATTTAATCCAATTATCTTTTAAACAACCTTAAAGGTTTATCTTCTAATTTCAATAAGAATTCTTTTGTAAGTAACTGTTGGCTGTGGGCAAGTGATTTAGGACGAATTTGTTCATATTTTAAGGGACCCATCACCGTATTTAAAAATTTTTGGTGATAAATTCTGAACGATTCACTGAAATATACAGCAATTAAATTCATTGATAGAATCGTACTAAAGAAAGTGCTGTTTAATTCGTATTTGGAGAGTAATCAATTATTCTAATACATATTTTAATACATAACATAAATTGAAATGAAATTTTTTGAACTATTTTTTATCTGCTGCTATTAGAGCAGCTAATTCATTACGAGAAATAAAACCAGGTCAAAGTTGTGTAACAGCGTAACAGATCTAAGAACTAATATTAAAAATGTTAAAATAAATAAATTAGTGAGAATAGTAGATTCATTCGAATTAGACTGAGAGATAGTATTGAAGCTGCTTTTTTACACTTTAACAGCGAAGAGGTGCTAATTTTTTACATCACCTTTTGAATGAAATGATAAAACTTAAAGGTGGTGCATCAGAAAAACTTTATGTTACTCAATAACTTCTACTTGACACAACAAATTTAAGTGGACTAATTCAAAAATTAAATCGTCTTTATACAGCCTCAAAAATATATTACTGTTTTCATTTGCATTATTCACTTGAGAATAAATACATTTTCCGCGATAATTTCAACGGCATTCCGCGTAAGAACAGGAATTAAAGAATTATATATCTTTAGCTATGATCAAAGTTATCTTCCATTATATTATTAAATAATGATGACGATAATTCATTCTTCCAGAGTCTGAAGCAATATTTGTCATTAATGATGGGAGGTTTACTTACAGTATGATTCATAAATTGGAGACAAATCTGGCAATCTGCATAGAATCCAAAAGTGCTTCCTTACAGAGCCCTATCATTGAAAAGCTTCCTAGAATAAATGAGAAAATAATCCTAATAGAAATTCTGTAATATCTTGAGTCAATTTCCATTAGTTACTGATATATATAGAACTCTAACTACTAGATAAATTTTTTTAATGATATCTAAAAATTAATAGTTAAAAATTATGCATACGCAACAATAAATTTGAATTGTATAATTTCTATTTGAAATCAATATCGATACAGTTCAAATTGCAATAATTTAGTACAAAGTATTTAACATATATCACTATGGTAAAACTTTGGATTTGGAAAAGGCAAGTTTCTGTGTATGCCTACCGTAAAAATTATCAGTGATTTATACTATTATTTTAGCTGAATCATACCCATCACAATTTCAGTGTAATCAGCTTCGTTAGAGGAGTTTACTATTCCCTTTCGAATTAAAAAATCTATCACGCAAATCGCAGCTTCCAAAGTAAATTCGTTCAACCTAGATTTAATCTGAAAAAAATTCAAATTATTCAGAAAAAATATTTAATTACAAACTTCTTCAACTGTCATTAAAAAAAATTCTTCAACCTTTAAAAAAAAAAAGGAAAAATAAAAAGGAAAAGTTAGTTAATATCTTTTATATTTTCTTCTAACCTCCCCATCTACAGGACGGGGAATATAAGATTTAGGTAACTCTAAATCGTAAATGTATTCAGTATCTGGCATCCAACCGCGTTTTGGATGATCCATGTAAAATGATATCGCCCCACCTGGTCGTATCTTATCTAACAGATGTTTTTCATAAATACCTGCTTCTTCACCAGCTTCCTTCTTAATAGTGTCTACTGGGTTTGAACCACTACCAAGTCCTCCTCCTACTAGGTTATCTAAAAACCCAGGATATGTTTGTTTTCTTTAAAAGTTTAGTTTACATGAAAGAAGAAGTACGTTTTCGATCTTCGGCCCACCCACATCTTCAATGTTTCATTGTCCCAAATATATCCGTTTAAGTGACAACCACTTTGTCTGATTCCAAAAAAACCACACCCAGACCTTTCAATAGATAGTAAAATTTTTCCACCATGAGCGTTTGATTCAGATGATTCCCCGTAGCAAGCAAATCTTTTATTTTTTAAAAAAAATTGTTAGAATACAAATACAAGATACCAACCTTTCATTTCTCCAG